TTGTGTATACCTCGGTTAGCACGTGAAGTTTAAAGGCAAAGCTATACACCCAAAAAAAAATTCAAAGCAAGAAGCAGACCTGAACATAGTATCTTCCACATAATGTTCTGGATGACTAAACACATCGAGATGATTATATGGACACTCTTTAAAAAAAACAGAATTACTGGTAAGCTCGAGTATGCCATGTTCAAGGCAAGCAAATGTTGATTCACCTGATAAGCTCGGGTACACAACATTTGACATTCATATTGGCTGAACCTTCACCATTAAATATTAGATTGAGAATGTAGTCCAAGAAAATCTAAACCGAGACTAATGAGCCATCAGGGAATGCGATTTTATAAGATTGTTCTTTAGTTATCCAACGTGCCATGTTCATGAAGATCTATGCACTATTGAACTACAGTATATGTTTCTTGTATGAGCTTAAATGACCTCCTCAGAAACAGCAAAACAAAATGCTTGTCTAAGATATATGATAGCTCTTGCTGCACCAAGAAATACTGCCACAAGCAATTTATTACCAATTAATCAAAGATACCAAGAAAAACAAACACTTTCCCCATAAGAATTACATGATGCATATGTGCTAAAGTCATGATCAAGGAAAGGCATGGTACGACTAATTGGGACTTTATTGTATAAGTGGGACTTTATTGTACACGTCATCGTTTATCACTTACTCCATACGACGCCGTTCGCTTCTTACTGTCAAATATGTGCATGCATGCGTGTGAGTATAAATAGGTGACTAAGACAGTTGAAGATTGACTGTAATTTTTCCGATTAATGAAAAATGGTGTTTACACCCCAAAAGTGATTTTCGGTTTCTACATACCTAGCAGATAAAACGATAAATTACGGAGGACAAGCAACACAAATTTATTTTTCTTCTGTTAATATTCAGGGAGATCGAGAGAGAAAGAAAGAGGCTACGGGAGAGAAGAAGATGAACAGATTTAAAGGGAAATTTGGTATAACAACACTAGTGCGTATCCCGTGCGATACGAGACAGACATATTAAATGAGTTATTTTCACAGTCTTTGTCCATTTAAGTATATAAAGCAATAGGGTTATCATATATATATTTTCTACCTTTTTTAATCAGCGTTAAGTGTAATAAACAATAAGGTCATAATTTATTTTGCACTTCTTTTAATCAGCGTGGTTTTGTTAGTCAAAACATTAAATATGAGCATGTTAGGACTAACTTGTAAAATAATTAATATATTATCCCACTAGCACATTTATACTAATATAAATTTGATTTTTATATATATATTTATTCCTTGATATAAGAGAGAATAACAATTTTACTTATTCTTGTTCCATATAATACTTAATTATTATTTTATTATAAACTTTGTTGTCATATAATGGCATTATTATTTATAAAGTTATAGAAGTTGTACGTCTTCTTTTTCTTTTTATTTTATGTAATAAAAAATATTTAATGCACGTCAGTCTTATTTATTTATGTAATCAATTTAAAATATGTAAATAAATTTAAAACTAAATAGTGTGTAAATATTTTATAAAATATATACATGGTTTTTTAGAATTTAATTTTATATACTAATTAAACAACTTTGATTTAAAAAAATGCCAAAAACTCAATCTCTTCTATAATCAAGATTTTTCTAATTCGCATTATAATTATTTATAGTTTATTTAGCATACTCTGCAATGAAAATTTATTTTACAAGAATTTAATTATAGAAATAAATTAAAATAAAAAAACAAAAAAAAATAATAATGGGTGCCAATAATATACAAATAAATCTAAAACATATTTAATATATTTCAATTTTAATTTTTTACCATTAGTAAAATTATTTAATGTATATGATCATTATCTCTTAAATGGTAAATTATATTAATTTGAAGAACAATTTATTTTTTATATTTAAGAAAATAAAGCCTAAGAAAAAAATATATTGGCAAAGATTAATTTACCAACTTGATTTTGTTTGATTACTTGGAAAAACAATTCTACCTAACCTGTTACGATTTTCCATAAATATTTTTGGATAAAAAGTGAATATTTGTGAAAAAAAAAAAATATATTATGGTTAGAACTTAAAATATGGTGTAATATTTATCTTGACCAAAATATTATCAACATGGATCATGGAAATGAATCATATAATTTATTATAATGAATATCAATGAAAGTATTACAAATATTAACAAAATAATATTTATCTTAAACAAAATATTATCAACATGAATCACGGAAAATAAATCTTATAATTTATTATAATAAATATCAATAAAAATATTGCATAATTTATTAATTAACTTTTTAATCATATCTTATTTGATCTTATTGAAAACGTATATATGGAAGCAATTAATGTATATATTTAAAAAGTGTCAAAAAATAGTATGCATTAAATGTTTCCTAAAGTTTTGGCTACTATTTTTAGTAAATGGTAGTTCTTATTATATATAGATAGAGATAGATTTTAAATAGCTTTTTGGATGAAAAATCCATAATAAAAAACGCTGCAATTGGCAGCGTTTTGAAGTTAGCTGCTGGACAATTGAAATAAAAGGCTTGGGGTTAGCTGTTGAACCATGCGAAAAAAAAGGCTCAATGACGGGGGTATTTCAACTGGATTTTTTTATTGTGCTTCACACTTTTTATTTATTTTCTCTTGCAATTCTCTAAACAAAACATGAATAAATATATTGTGATGTATACTACAAAATTTTATTTGAGATATTAAAATAGTAATTATTGTGAGATAAAGAAAAATATTAAATTATTTTTATAATTAAATTTTTAAATGTAATCTGTTAAATATCAAACTACTAATTTACCAAACATTCAGTTGATTACAAACAACTAATTTTACCAAACACTATTTTACAAAACAACTTACACTGGTCAAAATAGCTGACGTAATTCGCTGGTCAAAACAACTGATACAATCTCCTAACAGCTAACCGCTGATTGCCAAACAAGGTGTATTAGATTGATGGAATGAAATTCCGTGAGTAAAAATGTACAAGAGTTGCCCTTATATACTTGGGCAAATCTACAAATATTACATTACAAAGTAAAAAAGTGCTAAACTAAAGATACAAAGTTGCTACTCTATAACGTGTAGGGCTGAGCACGGTCTTGCAGATTACCAAATCGTTCCGAAAACCCAACTGAATTCATCCCGAACCGAAAAAACATCCGTTGACCATTTGACTATCTCTGAATCGAACATTATCGATTTTTTTTTTGGTACGGTTCTGGAGATTCATAAAATATCCGTATCGAAAACCGAACTGAATTGATCCGGAGCGAACCGAAGAACCGAACAAGAACCGAATCCAATTCATAATATCCATATACATATAATATTTTATCATATATATTTTTTCATCTTTGTACATAATTATATTTAAAATTTATTTGCAAATAAAGTCCATATACATTATGTTTATGTCCATTTAACTATCATAAGTTATATTTTCAATTGGGTTGTGAAAAAACATCCAATATTGAATGTTAACAGAATTTAATAATTGAAAACATAATTATTTTGTTTTGGTACTATATACGAGACACTATTAAATCTAAGATCTCATTCTCGAATCAATTTTTCGAAAAGAAAATTAAATTAATATACTCTTCCAATTACAAAATTTGGTAGCCAACATGTCAAATGTTTTACTAAGAAAATCATTAATTATAACTTAATAAATTTAAATATCGAATGTTTGGAAACCGACCTTTATGAAGTAAGTCTTTTACAAAACTTGGATAGAATTATTTATTTAAAGATGATATAGTTTAATATAAAAATAAATTGATAGATATCTTTACCATAATATTAGATTAAGAACGGATATATCGATCATTTTATTAATAAAATTAAATATCTTCTCTTTTCGAAAACAAACTTTATATGTACTATATCTGAATCTCACGAAATCGGAAGAGACTAATTTATTTGGACATAATATATTTCCAAAATATCCTTTTATTTAACAAATAACTATCTCTAAATTGATTATTGTTCATGGGTACGTCTTATCACTTGCGAATTTTTTGGCATATAAATGTGTACCATATAAATTTTTCAAATTAAATTTGATATTTTGCAACTAAAAGACAATTATCACCTTTTTTATGAAATAAAAAAGATTTTACCATCTATTCTTACTATTAATTGACGGTATATCTATTGAAATTAAGAGAGGTTTATGATTTTCTTTCATCCATGATATGTGCCATCTAACATGCAATTAAGAGATTTTTTTACAAAAATTTACATAAAAAAAAAATCTCTGAAATCTCCGATCCGTACCGAACCGACCCATTAGAACTGAATCTCATAATTCGGTTCGGTACGGAACTGACCGCGTGTCGCAACACGGCAAATTTAAATTTATAATTTTTCCTTAACAAACCTCTACTAACTAGTAGTAGCGGCGAGTAAGGGTCGATCCCACGAGGAGTAGGAATTAAATTGTGATAATTTCGTATTAATTGAACTAAAACTAAGAAAGCAATAAAAGATGGGGGGATTGGTTTTATAAAAATAAAAATAAAAATAAGAAAATAAAATAAAAATCTAAGAAAATAAGAGAAGTCCAGTTTTCGGTTCAGTTATCACCCAATCTAAATCTACCGTTAATTAATTTCGACGCTTTTTCTAAATTGCTGACGAATTACCAACCCTAGCTAACAACAAGCTCTGTTAACCGAATTCTCCCTTACAGAATATTTAATCGAAATAAGCTCTTCGACTAAACCTAACTAGTGGACAACCTAGAATAAGCTCTCTAGATTTAGTGCACTAGCAGCATTAATTTCTAGGAAAATAGGTCAGTCTAAGCAATGGACGCACAAGCTCGGACCATTTAACTTATGTTCACGCTACCCTAAAGATGCACGACCCCTAGTTTACTACTAACGAAACAAGACAATAACAATTACGGATTAAAGTCTCGAATCTAGCAATTAAACTATGAATATTTAACGTAGTTGGCCAGACTAAATCAAACACCATAATTCATAAACTTTATACACAGATAACATGAATCAACTCATCAACAAAAATAAATACGGCGTCTCGATTAATCAACGATAAAAATAAATCCTTCAATCCATAGACAAATCAAAGTTAGGGTTCAAACATCCCCTCAAACTGAATAAAATCCTAGCCTAACATACTAATAAAAATAAATAAAAAGATAAAAGAGAAGAAAATAATATTCTCCCCTTGTGTGCGAGTGCGGCTTCCCTCCGCGTATGTAGCCTTCTTTCCAGTCCGTGCGAGAGTTTTCTGTACTACTCTATGTCTGCGCCCTTTTTCCCTTTTTTTGCCTCTCCGCTTTGCTCTCGTAAAAAAAGTTAAAAAAAATAAAATCCAAGGACTCCTCAAATTATGACATATCCAGCAAATAATTCCCAAGCCTCATGTTGCTGCGTGCGTGGAGTTTGTGTAGCTGTAGGATTCCCAAATAATTCTCCCCAAATGTGTGCGTGAGTTTTTTTCTTTTTGTTCCAAGTGAGTTTTCTCATGTGTTTGCTTTCTTTGGGCCCAAATAATTGCCACATTATTTTGGGCCTAAATTCTTCTTTTAGGGCAGACTATCCGATACTACTGGTCTCGTCAGTTGACATCTCCGAATATTCTTCAAATGGCTGAAAATAGATAATGAAATATCAAAGTACATGAATCTATCCAAATAATAAATAAGTCAAAAAAATACAAACGTGCAAATAAATTAAGTGTATAAAAATACACTATTAAATATATAATACTGGCACATTTTTCGACCTATCAGGAACGAAGATTTATTGGAGCCGGTTCAGTTACGGAGATCCAATTTTTAGAATCTCCGAAGTTGGTTCGGTTCTGGAAATTTCTGGATCTTGGACCCGTGTTCAGTCGTACCTACAACTAACACATTATTATAACATGTTATCCACATCTCTAACCTTTTAAATTAACAACACTTTTTGTCATATCATCCACTTATAACACATTATTATAACATGTTATCCACATCTCTAACCTTTTAAATTAACAACACTTTTGTCATATCATCCACTTATAACGTTGTTTAAAAAGATTTAGAAAATGATACACAAAAGACCTCCGATCGGCTTAAAATCAGCCTGATTCGAGCTCCTCGCCGATTGGACGTCTTAAGACCTGCAAAAATTCTCACACCGGGGGGGTTTTTCAATGAAGAGTCTCTGATGCTTAAGTTAGCACTGTGAAGAAGATGAAGTGGTATATGTATTAATAGAGAATCTATACATATATAATTGCTGGCTCATGAGCATTTAATAAAACCTATTAAATTATACCTATGTGGTAATATAACGTTTTCCCTCCAAAAACTGTTACTTTTTATTTATTTAACCTCTCATTTAATTATTAAATAATCAACACACTAATCACTTCAAAATTATAAAAATCATTTTAAACTTTTGATTTACTTACAGCGACCATATAATGTGTTGATTATTTAACGTGATTAGATGTTATTGTTGTGGTTACATTTAAATTAACTTCTTTTGGAAAATAAAAAATGTATTTGAAATTCCTAAATAAATAATAAATAATTCACAAAAAAAAATACATACCAAAATATACATTACATCCAATATGATAAACGCAATTTAAAAAATAAATATTTCAACTCCTTTAATTGTAGATTTGGCCTACAAAAAAGTGCAAGAAAAATCATTAATCATTATATGCATACAAATAACTCATATTTCTTTATTTATATCTGTGCAAATGCACATGTCGAATACTAGTGTAATGTCATGTTGGGCATACGTCACTTCCTTTTATAGAAAAATGATACCTTGTTGCCCAAACCTGCTCGAACTGCCCAAACTACCCTATTCTGTTAGGCTACATGACCCTATCTACGTGGGGGTTTAATATCCATAATATTCATTCTTATTTTTTAGTCTTCCTTATTAGACGGTCTAACCATGCGACCGACTCCGATTACTTGGAGGTAATGTACCACTGACATCGAGTTCTGATATTCTGCTTCTCTGGTTGATCCTTCGACCAAATGTACCTTTAGGTTGAATTTCAACCAAGCCATCCGAAGGTCCTAATTCGACCTACTGATGCCCTTTTCCCACTTGACGTTCTATTCGACCTACGGGCCCTTCAACCTGTGAAGTCTTTTATGTCCGCTCGACTTGATAGTTCGACCGGTTCGATTCTACTGTTTTCCTGAGTCCAATCGACCTATACCATTATCTCATATCAATAATTGTGTCATATTTTTTTATAAAAAAATTCAAATAGTGTAGTAAACATGCAAAAGAGTAAAAAATAATATTTAAATAAGAAATTTGATAAATAGAAAACTGTCAACTGTTCTCTTCAAAGCACGATTTTGGATCGACTTGATATATACTGGGAAACAGCTCCTGTTAAAGTTCCCACTTATACAAGCTGTCACCCAAACTCAACTCCGATTCACACCATAGCCAGGGAAAAAAGATGGACTTCTCGCCGAGGTCCCGGAGACCGCGGAAGCCCCCGCCGCCCAAGAGCTCCGATTTGTATTCCACTTTCGTGATCCACGATAAGGACGACGCGGCGCCGCGGGAGCCCGAATCCGGCGCGGGCTCATCGGACATATACGCCACGATGGTGTACAAGGACGACGCTCTCGAGGACGAGGAAGAGGATTCGCTCCCCCCTCTATTGAAGCGCCTCCCCAAGGACTTCGGCGGCGGCGGGGACGATCTCGGCTACTCCGACGATGACGGCGGCTCCGCTGCGTCCATCTCCGGCACGATGATTGTGAAGACCGATCGGAGGAGATCGAGTTTCTCTGGGAAGGATTCCAGCCGCTCCTCCCCGTATGTGAAGCCGAGGAGTGTGCCTGCCACGCCGTATGGGGACAAGAGAAGCCCTACTGGCAAAATTGGGAACAATGACGGCAACGAGGAGGGCTCTGGGGATTTCGGGACGTTTGTCGTGAGGGAGAGAGAGGATGAGGATGAAGAGGACGAGGAGGATGAGGATGAAGGGTTGGGGACTATGGTGAAGAGAGGTGGTGGCGGTGGAGGGGGTACGATGAGGAGGGCGGTGGAAAGTATGCAGAAAGTGGGAGAGGTTAGAGGACTTGGGAACATGAGGCAGAGGAAAAGCAGCAGTGGTGGCGGTGAGGCTGGCGGTGGAATTAAGCAATTGAGGCAGCAGGGGAGTGGGAAGGTATCGTCGAGCTCGATACCCGATTGTATGACCAGAGAGGATCCTTCTACAAAATATGAGTTACTTCATGAGCTTGGTAAATATTTGACTTTGGGCTTTAAGTATTACTACGCTTCTACGAGTATGAATTGCTCCATGAGTTTGGTAATTTTTTTTTTTTACTTTTGAGCTTTAAGTCCTGCTTTTCAGATCTCATTGGGTCGGTATATGTTGTCGCGATGGTGGAACGGGTGTTGTATGCATATTGAGCTGGAAATGAATCTTTTGTTCAACTTTTGTTCTAAATATGGTAATGGGGCGACTCTGTGACTGAATGCATAGAAATTTTAGCTTAACCTGGTTGCAATTACTTTGTAGAATGTAGCTTTAGTTCTTTCCTTTTCCTGGATGGGTTAATGAATTGAAATTTAATGAGCGTAATTGTGATAGTATTATAGTATAGCATAATTAGAGTTGTGTCCTGTATTGTCTTGGGGGTTATGCAAATCAATGGGAAATGCATGCACGCTACTATATGGATCATGTGTAGCTATCTAGTAGCCCATCCCATCCCGTTCTCGCATTTTTTCCCCACAAGCAGGGCATACATATCGATAGAAGCAAAGCCATGACTTGTGTGGTATTTGTAGTGGAGGGCATAGCAAGCTTGTTCAACATGGAACAATCTCCACTCTAAAGTCACAAGCATAAGTTTTAATGGTCACATGTTGCTAACACATAGCTAACTTCTATTGCGCTTGGCATAGAAAAACTGATGGCCATATGAGTTATCTAATGATGTTATTGTTGATGTACTTTTTCTCCTTTTACAAATGTTAATTATCAAGTGTATTTGAAGTTGATGCTTTTGTCAAACAGGGAAGGGTTCATATGGGGCAGTCTATAAGGCTCGAGATGTAAGGACTTCAGAATTAGTTGCCATCAAAGTAATATCATTGTCTGAAGGGGTACGATTGCTATCACTTACATCTGATATTGCGTCTTGATTAAGAAAACATTATCCAGATCACGGAATGTTATGTGTTTTCCAGGAGGAGGGTTATGAAGAAATTCGTGGTGAAATTGAGATGTTGCAGCAGTGTAGTCATCCTAATGTAGTTCGCTATCTTGGAAGCTACCAAGGAGAAGAGTTTCTTTGGGTCAGTGCATGGTTTCGTATTTCTTTGTTCCTGCCGTTAGTGGCTACTTTGATCTGTTTATCCTTTTATATGGAAATTGGGGTTGGGACTTCCTACCCTTATATTGAGTTTTGTTAAATTGGTTAAGTTTGTTGAAACTTCGGATTTGTTGGCAGATAGTAATGGAGTACTGTGGGGGTGGAAGTGTTGCTGACTTGATGAACGTTACCGATGAGCCTCTTGAGGAGCATCAAATAGCATATATATGCAGAGAAGCTTTGAAGGTATCAATATGGACCTTGTTTGCTACAACATCTGTCAGTTTATATGTTTATTCTTACTACGAACTCTAGCCCGCTTGACAATTTGCTTCTTGTAAAAACAAAGGTATTTTTTTCTCTCGAAAACAAATCCGATATCCTCATATTGAACAAGTTATCCTTCCCTATGTATAAATGCAGAGTTTTCCGAACCAATGTGTCAATTTCTGGTGTTTCGTAAACGTATATGCCGAATTCTTGTGCTTCATAATCTTATGTGGTGATTCAGAGTAGTCCATGAAGATATGAACTTCTTGCCATACCTATTGGGATTTGGGACTTTTAAAATTACAAGACACTTAACTTGCTTATATTCTAAATAGTATTCAAAAGTTAATAGCTTTTGTATTTGTTAATAAATTTTCATATGTTATATCAAATTTGTCATCTCTTGACGAGCTTCAATTTGACATCCATATTGCATAAATAAATAAATAAATTTATTTATCTTTATTATAAAAATTAAATTATCTAATAATACTGCTTGAAAAATAATAAAATTATTTATCAATTAAAAACTTATCTATAAAGTCAGTAAATGATATGAGTTAGACAAATCGTTATAATATAAATAATTATGCAATTTTTTTAGAAAGTATTTGAAATTTAAATAAAAAACTTCTCTTTTTCATTTTTAACATGTATAATTTTTTTACTTAGCACCGGTGTAATACACGAGCGTTGTACTAGTTTTGTTAGTTTAATACATTAGTTAATGTCCTCTCTTCATATGCTTGTCCTACTTTTGCAATTAAAAATATAAATATTTAAATTTATTTATTTAATTTGTCTTATGAAGATTTATTTTTTAAAGAAAAAATATGCCACTATCTTGGGAGCCAAATTTATTGCTGTGGCTGCTTCGTTTTTCTGATTTCTTAATGATACCTGTTCATGCAGGGTTTGTCGTATTTGCATTCAATTTTCAAGGTACACCGAGATATTAAAGGTGGTAATATTTTGTTGACTGAGCAAGGAGAGGTCAAACTGGGTAAGTTTTAAGGTTCACTTCATGTGCAAGTGTCCAACCTCTACCTTTTCAAATCCTGAATATTTGTAGTTGTGTAGTGGGCCACGTAACCAAGTTGTCCGACTAATCTCAAACTTCTGTTTGGATATGCTTAGTTGATAGCTTATGCGGGAGTCATTAAATGTAACGATCACTAAAAACAAATATTATTATCTTCAGGTGATTTTGGAGTTGCTGCGCAGTTGACAAGAACTATGTCCAAGCGTAACACGGTACACCTGACTATTCATATCAGAATGCACACATATAAATATAATTCTTTCCTCTCCATCAGAGAAAAAACATTAACGTTTTATGCATGCGTGTATTATCAATGCTAATATTCTGATATCCGTCCTGTTTTGATATTTCTTTTTTCCTGGCTATTATATGCCTGTGCCCCTGTAAATGAGGTTGAGGCTCTTGCAAGGGATTGTGTGGAGTGGGTTAGAAACATGAAATGCTTTTGAATGTTATGCTCTATAAATAGGTCGGATACATTGATCTTTTGAAGAATGTGAATTTACCATATACTGCTTGATCCAGTTAGTAACGCTGTTATATCATCAGAACATTATGTTTAAATGGGACCTAGAATTTAAGGGTTTAAAAATGTGTTTACCAGAATACACCTGCACTGGACTGCTCCTGAGGTCACTGCAGAGTGGCCGTTGAGCCTACTCTGAAGTCTTATATTTTCAGACCCCTTGAGCAAGTGGGATACAAGAAATGGATTTTTGAAAGTGCTGGTGCTTGATACCAGTGGAGGGGTCCTTTACGGTTATTAGGGTTAATAGTGAAGAATAAATGCATTGTTGAATTATTTTTCATAATATTTTCAGTATCTACATGAGACGACTATTATAGATAATATTCGTTCTGGGACAAATGTACGAATGTGGTGTATCTTAATACCAGCTTCCTTAAGTTTAGCATATTAGTTGTCTTCGTCATATAAATTTTACCATTCGTGTGTCTCAGTTCATTGGTACACCACATTGGATGGCTCCTGAAGTTATTCAAGAGAGTCGTTATGATGGAAAGGTACATTATCTGTCTTGATGCTCATAAGTCGCAAGTACGTATGAATGAGAAGTGCTTTGAAGTTTACTCTTTTCAATTCATTTTTCATTTTGGGTGGTGTTACGTTTTTCTTTTGGGTCTAGAATATCATATGTTGTTCCAATTGCTTAGGTAGATGTGTGGGCTCTTGGAGTGTCTGCAATTGAAATGGCGGAGGTATATTTTGTCTATATGTTCAATTTTTTTTTTAATGTCTTGTTTTTTTGGGTTGAACTAAAATCGTGCACAATTCACAATCAAAATTTTATGCTAATTTATTTTTTGGCTGTATTATTGTTTTTCCAGGGACTTCCTCCAAGAGCAACTGTTCATCCTATGAGGGTAAGAAAGATAATTGTACATGACTTGGATTTCATTTTGCATCGATTTACATTTAATGTTAGTACTTAAAATGAGATGCGATATTGAGATCTCTCTTGAAAATCTGAGGCTTGAAAAATTTCAATAAGTTCTGAGAGCAAATGGGACTTTACTAAGATTTGATATAACAGACAAGAAGGGCCTGAACCAGAACTCTTGCGAGCACATTTCCAAATTCAATGATGATTAACAAGCTAGAAGATGAATGTTTAATAATATTATCACTATACTCTAGCTACAATACTTTAGCCACGATATTGAAAATTAGAAAAGAAAGAAATGAATGTTTAATAATGTTGTCACTAGACATTATTAGAGATGAAATATGAAATGTTTAACAACTAAGGTGGCAAATAGTGGTTGCATATTATAATTCACTAATTCTGCCACTTATACAAGTAAGAATAAGTTGCTGAGGGATGATCTTCAATCAATTTGGCATTAAAGCCTCCACAGATGGTAGATGACAATGTCCTCTATCTTGAGAATTACTAAAGTAGAATTTTCTTTTTGAATCTAAGCTCTGATCAGGTTCTAACTAAGCTCTAATTAGGTTCGAGTTGTATATACCAATTCTAGTTAATGTCTTAAGGGGTAACTTATGTTTTCCTTGTTTATGATGTGGTGTAACAACTTATGCTTAACACATTCAAAATTTGCGTCAGGTATTATTTATGATCTCCATTGAACCCGCTCCAATGCTTCAGGAAAGAGAGAAATGGTTTGTCTTTGAGTATTTCTTTTAGTTTTAGGTTTCTTCGGTGTAAATTTTATTCAGAACTTTATTGACACCAATGAGGCCTTAATTTCAATTATCCGTTTTGCTGTACATTCAAACCCCATGAAGCCCAATTATATTAAACTTTTGTATGAGATTTTTAAGGACATATTTATCTTCGAGGAACCAGAGTTACTGTGGTAGCAAGGATTTCATGCATCCTACAATCACGAAAACTTGGATTGGAGTTTCAAAGCAATATAATCTCATCATGCTTGAATTGAGTGAAGTCCTAGTGAAAAGGTGTTTTGTGTATCTGTATCTTGTCACACGTTATAAACTTTGATTTGAAATTATCGGGTCAAATTAGGCGGGTAAAAAAATACTGCTTCTTCCTGAGTTTGTAGCCTAAATTTTTTCTGGCCCCAAAATGAGATTTGTGCATTCACATACAAAGGGAGCATGTTTCAATTTTCAATACTGATTCTGCCTGTTCTCTATTAAATATGAAAGCTTTGAATTCTATGAAATCTTTGAACTCTAGGACCATATACTCATAGTCTCTCCTGGTATTTTGGTAGTTGGACAATTTTGGTTTATACACTTACATGATTCAAACTGGTAGCTTCCTATTTTATTGGTGACTGGGTGGTTGTATTGTGTTAATTATTAATCTCGTGAATATATGTGGAGAACATGAAACAATGTGGTGTTCAGTTTATTGATAGACTATTTACTTCGTTTATAGATGTTTAACTGATAGAATTTATATGCTCGTATATTTAGATGTGTTCTGTTCAATAGTATTATATTTAGTATATTACTTCCTTTGTGTTGTATAGATTTGATATGTAATTGTCACAGGTCACTCTTGTTTCACGACTTTGTTGCAAATTGCCTGGCGAAGGACCCACGAGTTCGACCTACAGCTGCTGAAATGTTGAGGGTATGCATAATCTTATATGTTGGTTACCCTTTTGGCTAACTGTAAGTTTTCAAGGTTCAGTGTGCATTTTTCTACCTTCATTTAATTACAAAGCTTTGTGTTGTCTACAACTCCAAATTGCACAAGTGTTCAACTGAATGGAAACTTTGACGACATTATCATTTGTGTGACATCTTCAAGAAAAATGTATCCTCTTGAATGCAGATTGAGGCTTTCTTCCGATGAAGTAGTTATTACTTCTCAAGGTTATGTCAATTGCTGGTGAAATTTAAACCATGTTATTGCATGCCTATAAGTAAGTGATGTAGTACATAGTCACACTGAGATTCCTGTAGATATTCTTTGTATTGTAGATGATATTCACTTGCTATTTGACCATGACTGGGTATAGGTGATCATGCAAAAAGAACTGCTCTGAAATAAACTATAAGGATAATTGCTAAGCCTTGAGAGATGGATTGCACCCATAAGCTTTTGTATAGTGAGCAGTTTTATCTCTTTTGACCAATTCTTACTTTCATTTTTTACTTTCTGCAGCACAAATTCATCGAAAAATGCAGAGGTGAAGCATCAATTTTGGTGCCGAAACTTGAAAAGGCAAAGGAGATCCGAGCGGCAATGGCTTTGCAGGCACGGAATGTTTCTTCAGATGCAACACTGCCCAGAGAAGAGGTAGAACTAATTTAGTATGATTTAGGGACAAAATAACACGAGGATTAATCTAATAGCAAAAACGGATAATAGAAAAGGAACAACCATGTACCTTGTAATAATCCAATATTCATTTAAGCTAGTTTTTCTATTTTACTAATAGCACCCTTCAGTAATTAACAGAACACAAACCTCAAGGTATGTGTTTGTTATACGATAAGGGGGGTATTGGTATTGTGGAAGGCAGTTGAGTTTTTCAGTAATTAGGCTGAACTTCAAGGGCATTTTTCTATAAATTTTCCCATTGATTTATTTGGAATTTTGTGGTTTGATTCTGTTTCCCTCTTTGAAATTTAGAGGAAACACCCTTGTTTATCTGCTTTCTGACACTCTGGCAGTATATTCAAGTTTTTCTAATTGTTAAGTTTGTCATTTCACGTCTTGCAGCCAGTGGGTGGTTCAACATTAAATGAAGCCATTGCCAGCACTGTTCCATCTAGACCTAAGAATGCTCAGCATAGTACCTTGGATACTACTGTTAAAATGGCTCCGTCAGAAATAGTACAAACTGCAACAGAAGGTGATCTTTCCTTGTATTGGTTTCAGAGAATCAATGCCTTTTTAATTATGGTTCATTCTATTTCTATGACATCATCATAAAATAGTACATCAGAAATAAACATACAGGAATGGAAATGAGAAATATGAAAAACTTGTCCGAAATCGCAACATGATTACCACAATGACTTCGTGAACCTTGAATATATATAGCCCTCTGATCAGTAACTTTTCGACCAGATGATTTTGGAACAGTGCTTGTACATGATAGAGTTGACAGTAAGACAGCTACTCTACCAGCTTCTACAAGAGCAGAACAATCCTCTGCTGCCACTGGGCATGTTAGAAGACCTTCTGTTGGTTTGCCTGGGGATAAGGCAACAGAATTTCGGTACTCCCTCCTTGCCCTAAATTTTTTGTTGCTAGTTGCCATAGCTTGCCATACACTCCTTTACTAGTTCAATTTTCCATTTCCGTTTTGCTTCCTGTGATGAAATCAATATTAACACGTCATGGGCGTTCCTTATATGTTCCATTAAAAGACATTTCAATGTGCTGCTCACTTGGAGGATGTGCTGAAGCATTTTACCCTTATGTGGTGTTATGTGAAAACCCTTGATTTCGATTTTTCATGCGGCGGATGTGAATGGGAATATTGCTCAAAGGGAATAGCTGACGAGTGACAACACAGAAGAAGCACTGAATATTTGTTAGAGATTATTGAATGTCATCTGAACCCATTTGAATTTTTCATTGTCTTCTTTCTATTCATTTTTATGTGAAAATAAATATATGTTTGGATATTGGGTGCTTCGTTTTTATTATATTTTGTGTGAATGAAAATTGTTTTGGATATTGAATATCAATTATGACTTTTATTACATAAAAAGTAATATTTTGGGAAGACTAAGAAATTTTTGAGTTTCATTTTTTAGCTTTGTCTCAAGATGGTAAATGTCACGACATTGAGATTTGTTTGACTTGTATTTTACAATATGATTTGGTGTCTAACTAGTTTTACATCAAGTAGAAACTGTGTTTCTGATACCGTGCACGATCAAACTGCAAACTAGTTTTTAGTGTTCTCTAACTAAATCACGTGCATGATAATCTGGCAGGACGGGCGATCTTGCCAATGTGGAGCACCCACCTGCTTCTCAACCCGCTGAGCAAAAAACCACCAAGTCAAATAGCATTCCTCAGGTCGCTAGTGAAACTGTCAGTAGAAAAGCATTGGACAAGGTAAATACAATCTTCTGAGTCACAAGTTATGAGCATTAGATGCTGTAGTCCTCACTTTGATTTAATTACGAAGCTTGCCCTGAGGTTTAGTCTGATTACAAGTCAGTTTATTTTATTAATTTTCAAATATCAATTTACAGTAAAACACATACAAACTTATATTTCTTCCATTAAAAAAATTCGAGAAGATTGCTGAACCTTTTCTAATTAGACCAAACATCAAGGCTATTTCACGATTTACATTTTCCCACCTCTGTTTGCTTATACGGTTATTGGTCCATAACAGAATCTTAAAAAAACTATTAATATTAATTTACGTAAACACTTTATTCTCTAAAATTTGGACAGAGATATCTTAGTATATGGTTTAGGGAGATCTAATGAAGAGCATAATAGGCAAGAGATTGCATTGTTAATTATTTTTATTTTGGTTAGAACGAACATCTATTTAAAAGAGAAGTGACATTTCTCTTTTATAATTATTAATATCTATGAATTTTTCATCTTAAGAAAATACCTCCCTGTAGGGAGGTAGACGCAAGGCAGTAATGCACCTCAAGGGTCTGTATATTTGTTAATTGAAATGGGTTTCCCCGTAATTACTAATTAGACTAAACCTCGTGTAGTTTTCGTATTCGATTTCCGATGTTAATTAATGTATGTTTACATTGGTACAATCTCTGGAAATCAGCTTTGGTCCATATACACTGCTGGTAATACGGTGCCGATTCCATTTCTAAGGGCAACCGATATTTCCCCTATTGCCCTTCTGTCTGACAATGTGCTTGGAGGTTGGCACAAAGATGATGGAGGAAATATAGCTGTAGAGGCAATGCAAGAGCTTTTTTCTGGTGATTCTCAGCCCAAGAAGGGCAGAAGCCGGCAAAACGAGGTTCTTTTCTATTTTCGTTATTATGATGAAAATTATTAGAGGATTTGTGCAATTTTTTTCTTAATATTGATGTTTATTATTCTGACTTTCAGGCGCCCCTTCCTCCAAGTGTATATCAAAGGGTCATATGTAGTCCAACTCTAATGAATCTTGCTCAGGCTTTAGCGTACCACAAAATGTAAGAGCTTTGTGGTTAACTCTGTACCAAATTGAATCCAGAATTGATGCCAGAATTACCGTTTAAAGTTTTTATTTGCAAAATAGCCCCAGTATTTGATAATTGTTTTGTTCTTAATAAACTATCCCATCAATTCGGTAGGCCATAGGTGCAATTGTAAAATTTTGAAACACAACAGGTGTTACTTGTAAGAAAAATAGAAGATATAAATATTTTACAGTTAGGTTAAACTTCTTGACCGATATTCCGAAATATTCCTGATTAATATGTTGAAGTAAAAAAATATTTTTACTCAACTCGTATGTTTGTTTGATGTGGGCCGTTCTTGTAGGTGTTATGAGGAGATGCCACTTCAGGAAATGCAGGCAGAGCAAGAACAACAAACCATTCAGAACCTTTCAGACACGCTCCGAACTATTCTGCGATTTTAGTTATATTTTACAGCATTTCGGGTTGTTTCATGTTTCTCGTGTTGTTTTTTTGTAATTAATTATGTGGCATAGCCAGGTATGTATGCCAATTGATTATTTTACATAGGTTATGAAGTTATGTTGGCAGAAGCAAAGTTTGCTTTTGTATTGGTATGTAAATTTGACGGTGTAAACTTTTAGAGCATCTTCAAGGCTATAGCTTTGAAAGATAATGATTTTTAACACATGTCAATCAATGATTGTAATGTTAATCCATGTAGGAATAATGTTAAAAGAGTAGAAATTTGAATCAAACTAGTATCTCTAATGCATCAATTTGATAAGAAGTTATTTGTATAGGTGGATCAATTAAAATAATCATTAATACAAGAACAATAAAAAATTAAATCAAATATAAAGTGAATTGATTAGTTATCATGTTTAACATGGTGTTAGGTATTAGAAAGTGTGTTCAACATTGTCAACATTAAATGTTATCCACCTCATCATGAAAGAGCTCATGACAAGATGCATTGGAGAACAAATTAGTAACACACTTTTAAAAGTTGATGATATGAATGAATTTTTATAATGTCAAAAGTTAAATTGAAGATGCTCTTAGAAATTTAATTTACTTGTCATCCAATTTGATCACGTGTCTTTTAAGTAAAACCTAGAAAGTCTGGATCTTGTTCGCATGAAGTATGATAATTGATAAGAGAAAATGTGGCAATTCTATAAAGTTGTAATTTTGAGCCATGTTTCTGTTACTCAACTGCTATTGAGTTAGGAAGTGTCATTCCAGTTCCATTATTGGATGCCCGTACATGCTTTATCCATAGTTGTTGACCTTTGATAATGCCACCTTGATAATGTAACGTAATAGTTAACTAATAATTTTGTTAAAGAAAATGCCTTTTATGAAATGATGACTTTGTCCTTCTATAAAAATTTCAAGTTATTTTATTTAAATGCATGTTATTCATTAAATAGGGGTATCTAATTACAAATTGAACGATCAAGGAGAGAGAGAGACTTGATCAATATTTCTAAATCATATGACTAAATTATTCAAAGAATTGTGGAGGATGGAGATATCATAGTTGGTGATTAGGAAGATTCAGTGTAATTCGGTTTGGTTTCAATTTAGCTTGGGACAAAAGTTTGGACGGGTCAGACCGCACAATAGCAACCAAAAGTATGTACAATAGTGTTATATGAATTGAACATTAAAGCACTAACTAGAGAATTTTTACCAAACCAAATTTGTTAGTCAACAGAATTCTGAAGGCCAAATACTTTCCTAAGAGTTCAATTCTATCAGCTCAAAATGGATCATGGTTATGGAACATCTGGATGGTGGCAAGGGAAACTCTACAAAGAGGAGTAAGGTATGAAGTCAAGGATGGCAAAACAATCAAAATCAGGGAGCACCCATGGATCCCCTCTCTGAATAACGTCAGACTTGCACCTCAGATTCAAAGAATGCACCTCAGATTCAAAGAAGGGTAGATTTAACTCTAGTCAGAGAACTACTGGATAGTATTGGAAGAAATTGGAACTTGGAGCTGCTAAAGGCGTTGTTCAATGAAAATGAGATATTCTCAAAATCAAAAGTATGGACCCAACAACAAAAGATAGAGTCATATGGGATTGGTATTCAAAAGGGGACTTCACTGTAGCTTCAACTTACAATAAATTTGTTTGGGAGAAATAGGGACAATTGGACTAAGCTGAGAGTAGCACTGAAAAAGTGATTGGGAAAAAGTAAGGACGAGGAGTTGGACACTGAAGATCAAAAGAAAACTGAAGCATTTCATCTACAAGTGCTACTCCAATCTCATCCTAGTCAATTGTAACCTAATAAAAAAGGACATTAAAGTAGATCACATAATCAAACTCTATGGAGAGGCTCCTAAATCTATTCAACACCTCCTCTTCCAGTGCCCCAAAGCTAAAATGGTTTGGGATTTGACTCTAATTTCTCGGTATGGGTAGACACAAGAAATTGTGAACTTCAAAGGCTGGTGGAACATGATTTGCTCCACGAAGCAAAACAGTACCCCAGACTCTAGAATCCAGCTAACTTCCTATATATTATGGTGGATCTTGAAATCAAGGAATCAATGGGTGTTCCAAAACAGCTTGAGGCCAGTCAAGGATGTGGTGGATATAACCCTCAAAGAATGGTTGGAGTTTGGTGGGGGTTGTGTTAGGTAACTTTGCAGAACAGCTAGGTTCCTTGAGTGTTCAGTGGCTGTTCTTCAAG